TATTTCAGATTCACGATTACATTTAAAAAATACTGAAGATCAGAAGAATGAATAACATCAGACTAAAGCATAAGCTTGTAGGTTTATTGAAATAACAGTACCTGAAAGGAAGAGAGATTTATAATCACTAAGCTTCTGTACAGAATACAACACATTCAAATCAGTATTTAACATTACATAAAACAGGGATATTGGATAGTAGCACACTGTACCATTAAACAGAGAACAAAGCTGTTGCTCAGAGGTCTGTTTCCAACTTGTTCCAAATGTCAAAGCTACCTGTTGAAAATTTACAGCATGACTTAGTTGTTGATTATTTGACTTTCCGTCAATCTTAGCAATAAATAAAATTGCATAGAAACATCCCACAAAAATACATAAATATTCCTTTGAAAAAATCCAGGCCAAATCACAGGATGCAAATTTTCTCTTTTCAAGAGAAAACATTCGAAAACAAAGCACTAACTATTCCAGATTTGTATCAGCATAGCTATTAACAGAATTATTAATAGAATGTATTCATAGTACATTTTGTATGCTATATTTTTCAATTCTTTTTTACATCCCAAAGACTCGTGTTTTTGTGCTTGATTAAGAATAAAGCCTCCACAACTTCGAAGAATGATTCAGTTGAAAATTTAAGGACCCAACTGAGGTTTAATAACTATGAATGAAATCAAATAAGCTATAGTAACAGAAATATATAACAGAATTAGCAGGCACTGTTTTTAATAATAAAATTGATTATCAGATTGTATTGAAATCCAAGAATAATTCAATATAAAATGCATTTAACAGTAAACAAGACGTGTAGTTTTACATTTCATAAACGAGGCATCTCAAAACTGCAGCAAGAAAGCACTTACTAGGACAAGAATGAAGAACATCTGAGGAAAGAAAATCTGACAACACAAACAGCAAACTCAAAATATTTGCTTAAAATATTTAAAGTACATGCTCCATGATCAATGCTATACAATATAGCATCAACTGAATATCAACATATATTAATAAGAAGATTATACGGGCCAACATTACAACAGCTGTTTCAGTGTAAATCACAGTTTAAATTTTCAGAACACACTTCTAGCAGTGACAGCCATTCTGGCTGTCATCCACTGACTACAACTCAGAGTACTGTGGGGTAGCACACAGGAATAATTAAGTAAACCAAACAGCACCACCCAATGAAATTTCAAAAACATTAAGAACAACAACAACAAAATTGGCTTCAGCAAGCAAGATGATTAGCTGATTTTTAGATCTGTGTTACTCACACATCCTTGATTAAGCAAGTGGTCTATTTTGAAATAGCTAGTTAGGAATGAATTTGGCATTAGCTCTAACTGTGAAGGAGATATTCTATTTAATCTACGCTGCTATTGCATCTGACACTGTAACTCAAGTGACAGCAAAGAAAAGCACAAGCTTTGGGAACGCACTATAATTTCAAAGTATATTTAGTGCTACTACCAGAAAACTGCATCTGAATAGGGCTGTAATAACGAGAATTTGATCTGAACTGCATGACCTACACATAAAAAAGCTTACTGCACAGACTAATGCCTTTTACTTTTTTTTTTTTTTGAATTAAGGACAGAAAATATGAAATCTCAAAGAAAATTGTACAGATAACAGAACAAAACTGAAGCCAGAAAGGTAAATCCTAGCAGAAAAAAAGTAATACATATTTTACAAACCACGTATGCTGTTATAAGATATGCTTTAATAAAGCTGCACTATGCAAGGAATATATGTCATACCTACAAAAGTTATCCTGAAAAAATAATCACATTGTAAAAAAAATTATCAAGAAGTTAACAAAAATGAGACTGCAAATGAAATTCCATGTAAATGTACAACAAGAAGAGCAGGCATAATCTGTGGTTGTATAAACAGTGACAACATAAGCTTGCAGAGGGACTGTAGATCTATACAGTACTGACCTGGCCAACATTTTGGATGTCCATATTCTAAAACATTACAAAGAAAACCAAGAAACAGTACATTATAAAGCTCCACGGTAATTACTACAAGGTTGGAGAGTTTCTTAGAAAGGAATCTGAGAACTGTAATAAATTATGCCACATTTCAATTTTCTTTAGTACACTGAAAGGATTTACCATGTCCAGAATGACTGTTCCTGTAGAGAAAGATAAAAAGAGCCAAGAAACTGAATAAAAACTACATGTGAAATATACTAAGGTAGTAGTAATTAAATATGGGTATAAACAGTAAGAGGAAGATGTGCATTCTCTATCTCCTGAGATGCAAATAGAGACTACAAGACTCAAAACTGAAAATTTAGTACGAATGATTAAACAAAGTTTGTTTATAACAAGAATACGACTTTCACTTTTGATAAAGTTATTTTTAAGTGTCCAAAAGTATTTTCTTGCGACACGTAATTTCTAATCTTTAGTTCCTTAGAGGACAGTTCTGCTAACAGTCATAACTTCTACTTTTAGCACACATTTCTACACTTTGTTGAGAAACTGGCAACATTATGATGTTTCTGGTAAATTTTAACTGACCGTTCAAAACTTGATATAAAACCACCAAGATTAAATTTTATACAAATGTATTAAAGTTGCATAGCTACTAGAGAAGAGCATTGCTGCTTATTAGTACTGTTTATGTAACCGCTGTCATTCACACTGATGTGTAAGGCTTTCTGAAACTACATATATGAAACACAGCATCTTAATTACCTGAGGAATGCAAAAAAAAAAAAAAAAAAAAAGTACTTTTTGCCTTTTCACACAGCAGAATTCTGCTATACCATATTAAAAAGTAACCATACCAGAACACCTTTCTAACTGTCCCAAAGATTTTTTTTCCCCCAAGATTCTTTATTCTTTCTAGCTAATTAGTTTTGCAGAGACAGATTATATGCTTACTGTCTATAGAATGCACACCAATATGAAGACTACAGTAAAGTTGTTATCACACTGCCATAACACGCAGTCATATGAGCTTAGAAGTCCCCACAAACCTACCAGTGCCTTGACGCACTCTCTCAGAACTGTGTAGCTGAGTGCTCATTACTGTCTTTGCTGTTCCTTGGTTGCACAGCCTGGCTGAATTACTAACTGACTGCTAATTAGTTTGCCTCCTGGATTTGCTCTCTAATTTCAAGTGGCAACCCCTGGAAGCATCCTATGCAAAATATTCAGAAGGGCCAGAAACTAGAAAATAAATTTCTTTGTTAAAAATTACTTGCTAGACCAAATACATCAGCCTTTTTATTCTACGGCTCTGAAGATTGTATCTCTTAAAATTTAACTATATGTTGTCAATCTTTTTCCTTTCATCTTGGCTTTGCAACCTATTAGGCAATGAACTGATTGCATCCACTAAGTCAGGCCTTGCTTATGAGTGAGGCATTCGCATCTTACTGAGGAGCATATTTGTTTTCTAGTAAATTAAAGAGGACGCTAAACAACTGATATAAATTATCATTTAAAGCACTAGGTTTAAGCAGAATGCTTGATACTTAAGTGTAAAAAATTCAAAATTCAACTGTTTCTCAACGATGAAGCATGAAAATTTCATGAATTCATGGCTGTCTCAACAAAAGCACCTTGTGGTTCCACACGATTCTCTTAAACAACTGTGACTTGCACAATGGTCTTAGGTTTCCCTCAAATTAAAAAAATTTAGGACTATAAGTTGTATGTTTCCTTTATTTGAAGACACGGGATTTTTTCTGCCTATTTCTGGGACTAAAAGAGACAACACAGTACTATCCAGAGTTGCAACAACTCTTGATAATGTTGCCATGAAACCTGGATGGCTACAGGCCATTTGATGACTAAAATGTGAGCTGCATCTATAACTCTCACAAACCTGAAGAAAATCCAAAATATAACCTGCATTCTACTATTCTCAGGACATAAATAAAAGTTTTATACTAAAAATTAAAACCGATAATTTATGAAGAAAACCTTTTGTACTCCCACTACAATAAACGTTTCTACAATCATGTTATGGTAAGCATGTAAATCATCATAATGGTCTCTGAGAAACATATGCTTTACACAACCCATCAATGATCCAACTAATTAAAAGACACAATGCCAGTTTAGTTTTCCAAAAACAATTTTCCTCTCAGCAGATACAACTTCTTCTTGTTTTCTTGCAATGTAGTTGCAACTCAAATGACTTCATAAAAACAGTTCAACCCATTACCCTATATCCTTTTCTCTAAAAGGAAAAAAAGGCCCCATATAGCCCACTCCACCCTGTACAGAAAATTTCTGTTAGCTTAGGAGCCAAATGCTAAGACATCATTACACAGCAGTGCAGAAAACTGCCTCAGTGGTAGTGAAAAATTATTTCCCTGCATACATAAATTAGATTTAGTTAAGACTGACCATTCAATATGGGATAATGCCACAGCCTCTCAGTTTCATATTGAGTTTTAGGGAGCTGGAGGTGGGACTGCTTTTGGTTTCAAAAATATGAAACCATTTCTATTCTTGTGTGTAACAAGAAGATTACTGCAATGTTTCTAACCTGAACTCTTATTTCTAAAGCATTAACTGGAGGCTTTCTCCACTAATTTAGCAAAATCTGAAGTGAAACCTTTCCTGTGTGCATTTAGAAAAAAGTGGGAAAGTTAAAATGCCTTGCAAAACAAAACACTTGCGGAATTCACACTTCCCTGTATACTCTTCTAGTTCTTATTTATACTAATACAAAAACATGGAATCTGAGAGTTTCTTTTCAAATTACTCCACTTGATTATTTTACCTCATAACTTTTCATTTTTCTGATCACAAGCCATTGTTTTAAGTGTCTGCATTAAAAAACAAAGGTAGTTTAACATGTGCAGTCTGAAAAGGGCCATTGCTTCAGAGCAGATTCAATCCAGCTGCGTAAGCAAACCAGAAGCTATATAAGCAATGCTCTAATGTCTGCAATAAAGGAGGGAAAGTGACAATAAAAAACTAACATGTACATTTCAGAAAGAATGACTTTTTCTTCAGTACACTAACCTTTTACAAGACTGCTGACATACACCATGTACCAGCCTTAAAAATATTTGTACTGTCTTAATTAACTCAGCAGCAATGGTTTCATTCTACATTGCAACTCTGCAATTAAATGGGCTCATCAAACGAATGGTAAGGAACTCCACGAGGAGACTCAACTTCTCTTATTCAGAAGCAAACAGAAAGCACACGAAACTCTGAAATCGCTTCGCAGCACTTGTACGCTAACAGCCCCAGGCTACCAAGCACCTACATGTTTTAAACCAGGCATTTGGAGGGAGCTGAAGAGCTACAAGGCTGCAGACTGCCTGCAAGGTGGGCGGTCCTGCAGGGGGTCACTGGAAAAACGAGCGGGGAAGGAGGAGGAGACGAAGCAGTCACTGTAGGAGCGAAGGGAAGAGCCCAGCCCCGCGCTCCCTCAGGGGACACCCCCGACTCACGACACACCGAGACCCCACACGCACCTCCCCTCAGCCGCGCCCCCTCCACGCGACGCGCATGCGTCCCGCGGCTCCCCCCCCTGTGTGCCGCCGGGCCCGCCGCGCACGCGCAGCAGCTCGCGATTGGCCGCCCCGGCTGTGGCGGAGCCGGCGCCATTTTCCTCCTCCCCGCGCCGAAGCCGGGCTGGGCGGCGCGCAGGCGCAGTGGCGCCCCGTTGGGGAAGGTGCGGCGCGGCCCGGCTCGGCCCAGCCTTGGTGCGCCGGGGGGATCCTGTCAGGGTACGGGCCGCCCGCAGCCCCGCTCCTCCCCGGCGCCCGGGCCCTCCCCGGCAGCGAGTCGTACCCCTCTCCTCACAGCCCACCCCCTGGCCACAGCCCGCCCCCCCAGCCTCCCCCTGCCGGGCCGCGACCTCCCCTTTGCCCTCGTCTCGCTTTTTTTTTAATTATTTTTTTTTCTTTCTTTTCCCCTCCCCTCGACTCAGCCGCCTCCGAGCTGTCCCAGGCCGGGGCTCCCCACCTCGGTGGCGGCTCTGAGGAGGGAGCCGCGGCCGCCCTGGAGCGGCGGGCATGGGCCCCTCTGCCGCAGGGGGGGCTCCCGGCCCCGGCGGGTACTGGCGGTGCCCAGGACCCGGCGGTGCCGGACCCGCCGGGGTTAGAGCGGGGCAGGCTCTCGCCCTTATCTCGCTGAGGTGCTGGCCTCGCCTCTTGCAGCTGCCCGGAGTTTCTGCTCGTTGAGGCGAGAGGTCTCGCTCCGGGAGCGCAGGGGCAGAGCGGGCTGCTCCGAGCCGCCGCAGCGGGGCTGCCAGCAAGATCTCCGTCCCTGCAGCGCTGCTGCTAGAGTTAGCAACCCGCCGCCTCTCCTCTCCGGTTCTTTTGGGCTCCTGGAGAGGAGAGGTGAGTTGTTGTCTTTCCCTCTTGTTGTACCGTAACAGTGGAGAAAGTAGGCTAGCTTGCAGGCGGCAGAACTCGTTCAGGATGGCTTCGAGCTGACAGCTGCGTTTATTTTACCTTGAGAGTCAGCTCTGTGAAAAGGCCCATTGATGCAGAAAGAGATTAGCACCGTGTTAACTGCGCGGTTCTCTCTCCTTTGCTGCAGTGCGCACTTTCACCGTTGTCTCCTGCTCTGCCTGCTCCTGCTTTCAGCATGGTAAAGAAGAATACTATCCCCGATGGGTAAGTATCCCTCACACTAAGAGAGGCAGGAGTGGGCATAGTCCTGCCCACAGAGAAGGGGCACTCGCTGCCCCAGGCGCTTGCTTGCCACAAGCATCTTCACCACTTACTGCCAGGTAAGGTAGGAACCTTCTCCAAGACAGCCCAACCCTTCATCCCCTAGGTGAGTATAATGCTCAAACCTGTCTGTGAGCACGTCTCCTTCATCAGCCAGAGTCCCTTCTTCCTAACTTTAACCTCAGGTGCATACTTCTCTGGGGTACTGGAGTGTAGTCCATCCTTACTCACATTTGCTACCAAGAGTTGGGGAAGAACAAATAAGATGGGAGCAGGTGATTGCATGCACGTGAAGAGCATTCAGGTCCAGAAAGACAATCCAGTAGTTTTGTTTTGTTATACAAGAAGAGAACAAAAAAGTTTTATCAATGAAAATAGCAATAAAAAAAGCACTATTCTACTGGCTTTCTGATGACTTGAATGGGAGTGCATATGGGGACCACAAAATAGTCTCAGTTAAAATAAACACGGTTCTATTCTTCAATTCTATTAAGAAAATGTCCAGGTTCTATTAAAAAGAAGTCCAAGTTTAAAAGTTGAACCCGTGTGTTACTGCATTACAAACTTATTGGGTAAAAGTATGTGCTGAGATAGAAAGGCACATTGTAATGGAAAAATAACTTAAAATTAATATTTCTTTTTTTTTTTTTAGGAGGACATTGTTTAGGTGGACATTATCCGGGTTTCAGGGAAAGTTTATTAACATGCTTAGGAGGAGCAATAAAATACAAAAAGCATAATTTCCTCTGAAATACGGTGGTCTAAAAGCAACGAATAGAAACAAAAGTTATGCAAAATTAAAAAAAAAAAAAAGCAAAGCTTCAAGAAACTGATTTTTTTCGTAGCAGACAAACTCAGGGATTAAAATTAGAATAAAATTTAAGGAAGTGCTACTTAAGCTTCTATGAAAATTCAGTAAGAAAGTGGACACAAAAGATTAAACTCTGGAGTGGGTTAGGCTTGCAAGCAGTAACAGAGAAAGTCTGAATAATAACTGTCAGGCTTGTTTTCTTCATACACAGAAATTATTATGAAAACATTTCTCATGCATCAGGTGCTTATTTTTCCCCATTGTTTTTGAGCTGGAGCTGCTTTTAGGCTGTATGCATTTCATCTGTAAGTATGGAAGAAGCAATGGACTCTTCTTTTGGCTTCTGTGCTTAGAAACTAACACCTGTGCCTCTTTCAAGGAGAGGAACATCTGCTGTAGACTAATTGGTTGTAAAACTAGAATTAACTGATGATACTCCTGTTAGTCATGATACTGAAGTGTTTTCAACTTACTCAGATAATTATTTTTTGATACTATTAACAAATCAGGCCAGACCTCCTGTACTCCTTTATAGTAAAAATGATTTCTCCCTTTTCCCAATAAAGTCTCGGAGCAGAGATAAGGTGTGCAGTATCCATTGCAGTCTTAGTCCTATAAAGTCACACTAGGGAGATAATTTTATATCAAAATGAGGTGTACTATAAGAGAGGGATTCAAGTGGTCTGTTCGACTGCAGTTTCCACCAGGGTGTCTGAAACAGTGTTGTCCGTAAGTAGTTGTGTATGATGGTGTTTTAGGGGAGAACTAGCCAGTAGAGGGAGTTCAAGCTATCTAAAGAACTACCACAGTGCTGTGATGGTTTTACTGCTTTATATATGTGTGCGCATCAATATCCCAAGTCCTACTGTGAGTATAATTTAATAAAGTTAGATTTCAGTTTTGAAAAGCATCTGCAGAAGTACCACCTTATTGTGTGCTTTCCTTAAAGGGTCTAAATAAAATCCCAGGAGTGGGGTCTTTTTATTATAAAGATAAAACTGAATTATTTTTACCTATACACTGTGAACATACTTTTTTATTCTAGTGCAGACTTCAAAACATCAGCATTTCATTTACAACAGTGTTAAAGACTGGCATAACCGATTCTGTATTTTGGTCTATGAAATGCATGTTCAAGGGTGGATGGAAGATAAAGATTACAGTAATGCGAGAGTTTAATTGTAAAGTACAAGTGCTTCATACTGTCAGGCATAGAATGTTTTCATTTAAAAAATGTGGTATCAGAAGAAACTACTTATAATACCTGAGTAATGATTGTATCATTGCCATACAGCTCTTAAGGCACGGCTTTAGTGTTTCAATACACAACCACAAGTGCAAAGCTATGCAATTACTTATTGATATGGGGAGGAGACTTTTTCTCCTGTGCTTTGCACATTCACTGTTCTTTTTGCAAGCTATGACACAGGCTGAAGTAAAGGAAAGGGAGAAATCTGTTTTAACAGATGATTAACAGCTCTCTATATTCTCTTCCATCTGCTTTTGACCAGTGCACTGTGTTCTATCTTGAAAACATGTATAGACCTTTTAGGGGTGTCTTTTCTTAAACAATTATCAGTTACGGTATCTACAGAAGCTACTTGGAAAATAGAGCTGTGTGTATGTCGTGTAGTAGCAGTAGCCAAAAACGAAGAGAGATTGCAAATAGTATTTTCTAAATGGTCTTGCTGCAGCTCCCGGTATTTCATACTCAAGTTTCTCTACAGCTACTGTATTATCCGTATTGAATGATTAGGAATTCACTTTCCAAGGTAGGTTCATAACCATAAGATGTTCATAATAGGCTTCAGAATTGTAGAAACACCTGAATTGTTAAGCAAACAATTGTATGGGCAAAATTCTGCCTCAGTTCTGTGATACTTGATGGTAGTTGGGAAGTGACAAAGACAAAACATGATCCTGAACTGGGAAAGGCAAATAATTAAATAATTTAAATTTTGTTGCCTTTCAGATCTTGATCTGCATGTAGTCCATGGATTGTTTACCTATTTGAAAATGTAGAGAAATAATACTCTAACTATAAATGCATTGTGTGTGCACAGTATGTAACTGTTATGTGATTCCATCTTAGACTCTTATCACAACGTCTTTATAATGTGAATACCATCAGTTCTATGGTATTCAGTATAGAGGGCATAGCTCTGCCCTCTATAATTGCAAATGCCTAAATCTGTTTCAAGACACATCTATTTCTGTGTCTGCATCTCAGTGAGACACCACTGCCTTGTTCAGGGAACTCTTACTGCCATGTTTCAGCTACTTCATGTCCAGCTTGTTTTTTAACTCAAGCCTCTGTTACTTTTTAATCACTGCTACAGGAATGATGATTGTGTCAAGTCTTCTGAATAACACCTTTGACTCATGGGTTTCTTTCCATCCAAGCAGGACACAAATTGTGTTTCATGATTCTCATTTGTTAAAATACTTGTTAAAATACTATTTGTCTTTGTTTCTGTAACTGCTGTTTCAAAGATATGTAACTCATCCATCTTTTGTCCTTTCAGCCTTTATCCAGACTTCAGGAGTTTTACTTAAGCCCTGCCACCTTTACTTCCCAACTATATTCCTTCATCAACCACAAAAATAATTGAGTTCATTTCCTTTAGGCAATTTTTGCTTAATTTTGATCTGCTTTTTTTTTTTTTTTTGATCATTTTTAGTTCTGCATCAGCATGCTGAATTTTATTATTATTATTTTAAAGGTAACATGCAACATATACCCTTTACATTTTCTGATAAAGAATGTTTTCTGGTTATTTTCTACTATAGAGCTGCCAGGTTTTGCTGATTTTTGCAGAAGTTGTGAGAGGATTGATGAAAAGTTCAGAATTTTCCAGTCTTTGTCACATTGCTAATGATAGCAAATAAGATTTTTAAGCAATCTTTAATAACTTATTGCTGGCTTCTAGTTGCTTGGAATTTGCAATAATCACGGTAGATTTCCATTCATAGTTTTCCAAGAGAAAGCTGATGAAAGAAGACCTGATTTTCTAACCTATGATATCAAGCTGTCTTCCTACATAGGCTGATTGGTCTTCTGTGGCTGGAATGCTTAACTTCAACCTTCCTTCAGAATGCTTTTAAACATGGATATGTGAATATGGCCTCTGGCTGCTTGTCCAGTTAAATCCTACTTTTGTAAAGTATGTTGTACATTTTAGTGTTATTGGTACTAGTTTCTATATCCCTAGACACAGCCCATCTTCTAATTTTATTTGGAAATGGACAAAAGTTTTAAATAAAGAAAAGTAATTTCCAGAGTTATTTTAAAATAGCAAGAGGCTGGACTTGTTAAGCCTGATTTTCTCATTAATTTTAACAGTAGTTCAGATTAAATATATATCTGAACACGGCTTATAGCATGTAGTATCTTTTTAGATCATCACCGAATCACGGAGTGATTTATAACATGAATTAGATAAAATCTTATCACTGGGATACTTCATTATGTTATGGTTTTTGTTAGATTCAGTAATATTTTCTGTATATTAACACTTTTTGCGATCTTGATTCATGTACAATTTATCTGTCTTAAACTAAGAGAAGTGAAACAGTTTCAGAAGTTGTTTTTCTCATTTTACAACTAAATTTAGTAATTCACCTCAATGAAGGTAAAATCGATCTGCTAATTGACTTTTCACATAAAGTTTTTCATATGCTTTAAAAATACTGGCATCTCTGAAATGCGATATGTCCAGGGTTTCTTCAAGCACACTGTAGAATTTGTGAACACCAGTTCTTTGGGGTTTTGGAATTACTAGCATTTCAAGTGTTGTAACATAAGTCTTCATACTAAAGTGATTTTTGCTAAATTTTTGTGTGTTGGAATATTCTTCGTATTTTGCAAAGTGCCAAGAGGAAGTGAAGCAAAGGCTGTTGTTTTGAAAAAGAAGCATATTACAAAGTGAACACATTTGCGAAATCTACCTTAGTATTTTTTAATGAATGTAAACTTAGCGTTTCATTGTTATTTAAGTAATTAAGACTAGTAACTGATACTGTTATTTAGGCAACTAACAATAGTAATTGACATTGTTATTTAAGCAACTTTTTAAAGGTGTTTGATTCAGCCAAATTGAAAAACTTGTGCCAACTATAATACAAAAAGACTTATTTTTACCTGTTGAACCATACCCTTTACGTAATATTGGCACTACTTGTTTGTAAGTACTGCCCTAACATTTTGAGGGGATGAAGGTTTCTGGAAGTTGAAAAAAGAAGGAAAGAAAAAGACTGTTTTCAAATGTACCGACAATATCTCAGTACCACTTTGTGGAATAAGTGCAGATTTGGGGACATACAGCAATTGTGCACAATGTATGTTATAAGTATTTTCTTTATAACAGTGCTTTATGGACAGTAAAGATTCATTTTGTTATGGATCCTGATTTTAGATTTGCAAATAATAGGAGTGTCTTTACATAAATTGTGTGGCATGCTAAATAAGCTGATCAATCCAGTAGTAACACTGTTGATATTCTTCTGGCATCTTCTAGGCAACTCTCTTTCATTTATCCCAGAAGAATGTGGATCCATTAATTTTATTCAAATATGTAATACCATAAGAAAAAAATATTTGTTATAGTGATACTAAAAAGATCTTAAGTTTCTTGGTTAAACAGGTTATTATTTGATGATGGATTTAAAAAAATAAAAAATTTTTCTATAAGGATTAAAGTGGTCATTTTTTTTAAACACTTGTGCATATCAGTTACAACTGCTTGATTATGTGGTCAAAGAATTTAAGAACTATTGGATCCTGTTGTTGGTAAATCTAAAGCTTAATATATTATGCTAGTGGGCTGCATGGCTCATCATAGGAAAAAAAGACAGCTACCATTTATGATTGGAGAAGTGTTAAATAACTATTATATTTAACACAGCTTTAATGTGACAAGGTTTCTTGCTATGTAAGATACACATAGTTTGAAATAACTATGATAATATTAAAGAGATGTTATTTTTATGTACTATTTTACCAAAGTTTTAATCCTAAGAGGTAATATCTTTATTTTAGAATTTTTATATGGAGCAACGCGTCTTCTGTTGAATCGTGTTGTTTGAAAATACTTATAATAAATGTTTACTTCATTGCAGATGGAGGAGCTTGACACCAGTTGGACAGCCTATACCAGGAACTAGATTTATTGCATTTAAAGTACCTTTAAAAGGGGTATGTATAAACAGTAATTACAGAATGTCTCTACTAAATACAATGCAAAAGTAATGAATAGCATTAATATTCGTGCAAGCTTCTGGAAAGTTTTATGAAAAAATATTTTGTGGTATTTAAATAATCAGTCCAGTCATCTACCAATGGCTTTATGTACATAATATATTTTTTTTCTCTCTCTTTTAAAGTTTGTATTTGATGTTACTCTTTTATTCTTCTGAAAATCATACAGTCTCATTTCTAACCAATCAGGAAAACTGATTTGATCACTTTCTGATTTGATTTGGCACTCCTAAATACATGATCTTATTTAACATCTTTTCTTGACTGTTATGAGAAAAGTCCAATTATCACTATGGAGGGGCTTATAATACAACTAACAATCCAGGCAGTATAAGCCCAAATACAAGTTTATGGAAATCAGGCTATTAAAAGATTCCAGCTACTGTAGTACTTTTAAAAATTAGGGATCCATACTACCAGTTCTGTAAGCAAAAACTTTTATAGTGATATGGAGAAATGCAGTATTCGTAGATTTATTTGATTAATGTGTTAGTAACTCCATTAGATTCTTACTAAGAGGGAGTAATGTCTTAATCTATTAAATACACTGAGCCAGTTCTCCACATTTTTTGTGACAGGACAAAATGTGGAGGCTGTCTTTTTTTCAATCCATCAGTTCTTTGATGGATTGAGGGATAGGGCTGCAAATTTGCCCTTCGATATAAATTAACACTTGATTTGCACACCACTTTTTTAAGTCCCTGCTTCAGATACACAGGAAAGATGTTTCTAAGCTCTTTTAACATTCAACAGCTAGACATAATCTTAGCAGTTAGTAGTAAATATTCTGTCTAAGATATTGTCTGCAGTTTTCCCCCCCACAAAAAAATATTATTATTATGGCATATTAGTGCCCTTTATGTTTTCAGTCACAATTCTGTTAACAGTGACTGAAGTGCAATGCTCACAGTGTTCACTTCCTTAGCTGCTTTCACACAGTTTTAGTATGATGTTTCTATTGCTTTGACACCGAAGATCTCAGACCTGATATTGGTCATATTCTCCATGGTACTGATGGATCGCACAACAGCCGCATGTCTTCCACCAGAGGCTGCCAGAGGGTAGATCTATCCACTGGTGGATATAAGATTCAGTAGATTTATAATTAGCTTCTTTGCTGTTTAAGTAGGAGAGATTTTTGCATCAGCAGCTCCTGTAATTCCACTTGATCCAGCACCATTTTTTGCATAGACATACTGCTCTATGCAGGATTTTTTCACTGCATATTTTTCAAGTTCCTTGTCTCTCTAGATTCAGAGAAAGATACTCACCAACTTCCCCTGCAGCTCACTTGTATCTCTCACAAGATACAAGATACTCCTTGTATCTTCTGTGATAGCCTGTAAGGAGCTCATAAGCCAGTGATCATAAAAGGATAGACATTTTTGCAGAATTCTTGATGAGTTTTTCAGAAAATCTCAAAGTCTTTCAATACATAGTCTTTCATAACACATGTGACTGTTTACTCAACCAAGCAATATGTTTACAGGTGTCATATTTTTTAAAATTGTATTTCCCCTCAATGTTAATTGTGGGTTCACATAGTAAAAGAAAAAATTCTTTCAAGTTCTGTTGTAGACTTCTGCAGACTCGTGTTTTGTCACCTCAAAGTTAGTAAATTTAGCTGCAAATTTTATTAAAAAACACTGCTGAGTAGCTGAGAGATAACTGACTACTCTTCATTTTGTTTGAACTTAGACAACCTCCACTTTTTTCAGCAGTATACCAATTTTTGAAATACTTAGGACAGAATACTTCTATGTGCTTTCTATGCTATTTTTTTTTTTTAGCTCAAGCTTCCTAATCAAAGCTTGGGAATGTCCTGCTGTTTATTCTTTAATTAGAATTCCTGCCTCTGTTTCTCAACTTGATTCAACTTGCTTGCTAGCATCGTAAATTAGAATCTGTACTGTCAAAAGATGGAGTAGTTAGTTACCCTATAGCATCTGTGGTTCTGAGAGGTGTGTGGTCTGTGGCTGCCTTCCTTTCCATTAGTTCTGAGTACAGTCTACTTGAATTTCTTATTGACAAAGGAACTGAGAGGTGGTTGAGGCTGCTGCGTCTGTTTTGCCACTGTCTTTATGGGTTGTAACAGAGCCTGTGTCAAAAGGCTCTCACAGTGAACAGCACACTATTCAGAGAAAATCCAGTTTTGCGCATGAGGCATTTTCATACCTAGAATGGAGAACACGTTTCAAAAACCACAGCTACAATAGGGTGAGTAAACAATTTTTCCACTGTGTCTGTCAAAATGAAATCAATTATTCATTGTTCACCAACATGCAGCTTTTTTAGCCACTGTATTTTACTCTTATTTAATATTTCCAGTGCTACACATGCAGTAATTTTCTAGTTCTATACATTCTGCCAAGAGATGAAGCGAGGATAAAAATGCCTGCATAACATTTCTGGGGAGAAAGTTAAAACCTTTAGAATAAGTGAACTCTGATATCACAACTTGTCACAATGTTTTTTTGTGAAATACACAGTTAATTTTATGCTATTGTACAGTTTGTTTTGTACAATATGTTTTAGGGGAAAAGGGTTGGGGTGCTTTGCTTTTTCCTGTTTAGTTACTTAATCTGTGTATATCTATATGCAGCATTTTGTAGGATTTTTTACTGTCAAATCAGTACTTACCCAAATAATGTTTGCTAATGTGCAAATGGAAGTTACTCCACATTTTGTTGCCTTTTCATCTGAATAGGAACAAATTACTGGTTTCTTGTTATTTGGTTCCTTTTCATTTCTTAATCTGTATAAAACATGGGTATGGTTTTGATAGTGTAAACATTCACTTTTATAAACTGATGTTTTCTTGTTTAACACGGCTGAATATTACAAATGTTTTGTTATTAGAAGTTAAGCAAATTTTTCTTTTCCATTTTCATTGTAGGCAATTAACCAGAGGCTTACCCCAACCCAGAAATTTACACCAAAAGACTTAATTGCTGCAATGAAAGCCCTAAATGTGGAGCTTGGATTAATTATTGATTTAACATATACTACACGATACTATGAAGTTAAGGTAATGCAAGAATATAAAAAATAAAATAGTTGCTGCCGTATTTGTTTTAAAGTATTTATGTATTTGCTCATCTCGACTAGACAAGTTGAGCCATCTAAACTTACTTTGTGGCTCTAATAGAAACCAAATGATTTATCACAGAGGAAATAACTCTCTCCCCCAGCTAGTTACATTTGTGGCTTATTTGTATTATGGTTGCTTAGAATAATGGATAAAGACTTGAGCACTAAGCACTGCAGAAAAGATGCTGAAGACTTTCAGCCTGTATCCTGAAGACATTCTCATTTATGCCTAAGGTGGGCTTTTTTAGTAGTTTCTTTACTCATCTTCAGTGGTAACCACTAAAAAGTATGCATTTTAAAAATTACCTTATTTCAAATTTGTTACCTGTATAGTCCAAACAATTTTGATTGCTTCCTATTGAAAAGGAAAATAAATAGGATTGTTAAAACTGAATGTTAATCTTCGAATGTACATTGACCTGAAATGCTTAGCGTGCAGATGTGTGTATATGATTATTGTTGGGAAGGGTAACTATTGCTAATAGTTGTTAAATGTGTTAGAATGGAATTACAAGAATCTGCTCTCTTTAGTTAATGGTCTGCCTTATTGTTAGGGATAAGAAAGTCCTGTGTAGAAACAAACTATTCTTTGAGATCAGGTGTTTACAACAGAAACACAAATGGTAGTTTCTTAGAGCATGTCTCTATACAGTCATGTCAAGATCATTTTCAGTTTCTATGCAGCATTTGAGCTACTGTTTTTCATGGGCATTATTATAGATACTGCTTCAGGGTTTTCCCTTGATGCAAGATTTCAATAATGTTCACCATTTTTTTCTTTTTGTTGCTAGGACTTACCTAAAAGTGTGCAGTACAAGAAACTTTACACTGTTGGACTTGAAGTCCCTGATAATGCTACTATCCTACAGTTCAAAAAGTGGGTCAGAAAATTCCTGTGGGAAAATGCAGGAAACGGTAAATATCAACATCTTAAGCTGTAAAAGACCAAAATTTTTATTTCAGTGTTAACTGCATCTTATATTAATCACAGTAGATTCTTTAAGACATCTGGGATCTCAGGTTTGTCCTTTTTGTACTCCTTGATGCTGCTGTATTTATGCTTTTTTATTTTACTTGTCTGATTGTGCTAGGGAAGTCTTCCCTGTTCAGTGCTCGTTGAATGCCTTCACCTGAAATCCACCTTCTAAGTACCTGTTTCACAAGGTTTAAATCAGTTGCCTCCACCTAGCTGACATAGTACTCAATAGAAATAAGATTTTTATCTGTTTCACTCAAATTGTCCTCCATCAGTTCAGTGTCACAACTGCTGGCCCTTTATGGATGTTTTAAATAGCACAGAGTTTCTCTGATGGCACTGGGCACTGATATTTGTGGGCGACCTAATGGAGACCGTTTAGTCTCACATAGCAGTTTTCTGAATTATAAACCCATTATTGCCCTCATATCCTAGCAATTCTTAAAAATCATTTTGCAGACACAACATCAGTGTTTCCACAATGTGGATCTGTTGCCATTTTAGTGTTTTTGCATTAGTACAATTCTCCCTGGAATGATACAAGTGCTTTTCAGGGAAATAAATTTGCAGGCACTTTGCCACAGCCTGTTTGCAGCTTTTACCTTCTCGCTTTATTTGCTACAGATTTTAACTGTTCATCTATCTGATATTGAAGAGTCATTCCTTCAGACTTTTTTCATGCTAATTGCTATGGTTACTCTGGCATTTTCTGTGAGAAAATACAGTTTAAATTTCCAAGTGCATACAGTTTTTGCTGCAGAATGTAACTGTTGTTTTGCAGTGGAAGGTCAGCTCTGTTGAATGAAAGAGCTCTGGCTTAAATTTCAGGTATAAGAACCTAACCTGGAAGTAGTGGGAAAATTAAAAAGTGTAAGATGGTTTTGTCCTTATTCAGAAAGTTAATGTGCAAGTTCTTTCTTTGCTCTTTTTTTGGCCTTAGGGAACTTACTTGGAAATAATTGTTTTTCCTTGTTTTGATCCAATGGTTCTTTTAATGGGACAAAGCATAGGCTGTATTTAAATCTAATTATTTATTATTCTCAGAATCAAGAGATTCAATTCCTAATTTGTTACTGTTCCAGCTAGTAAGACTGTTTTGGCAGTGTTTATATAAATTCAGAGGTGTGAGAACTTCCATTTTTATGTTACCTTGTGCATTGTAACTTGCCCTCTGTTCCAGATTACCCCCTAAAATTTCTCAGGATTCTTCTTACTAATAATTTTTAGTAAATTCTGAAGGGTTAGGACACCAACCTAGAATAAACTTATGTAATAGCATGAATGTCCTATTCATCATCCCTCTTTATTGTTTGCTATGGTCTGCAGAGTTAATCTCAGTCTTCACAGGTTTAGAAGCAGTGAGCTAACTGCTGCTAGACTGTCTCAGTGTGTTTGTTATTTTACGGGAGTGACAGTATCAATTTGAAAATAGCAAGCGTTATTTATCATTGCTTTACTAGAAAAGTACAATACTTCTTTTTATCTTCTTTTAATTTCATAGTAAATTTATTTTCTGAACTATTAAAGCCTGTGTTTTCCATTTTGACAGAGAAACTCATTGGTGTCCACTGTACTAATGGAATTAATAGAACCGGCTACCTTATATGTAGGTAAGGGTTGTATAAAAGCAAAAATCAGTGTTCAAAAAGATAGTGGCTTTATATTAGTCTGTAAGCCCTTTTGGGACAATGATCTAACCATGTTTTTCTTCAGATATCTTATAGATGTTGAAGGTTGGGATCCAGAGGCAGCAATCCAAGGTATTTCACACACTTTGAACTAAGGCAAATGTCAAGTTGTCATTCACAATTAACTACAATCGTATTCACAAATACTATAATTCTATTTTACTATCCTTAGAATTATCTCATGTGCTGACCTCCATAGAAGTTTTCTCTGACTGTTGATTCTGTTCCAAACAAGTTTTGAGCTTAGCAAATTGCACCATAGGAGGATATTTCAGCTGCTTAACATTTTTTTTTCTTTTGCTTTGAAGGGGTTTTCAGTAATAGGTTGCTGCCACTACTAGTTTTGGTTGTTTAAAATAAAAAAAAATAAAAGCTACAATGATCACAGCTTGCTACACTATTAAATACTTCAGCATTAGTATGACTGCGAATTACTTTTTTCAAATTCAGAATCTCGTGGTCAGCAGAAACCTGCCTTTTCATATTTTCGTGGCTCAGTTTGCTTGCGTTTCATTAGACTCGCATCTCTTTTTCTTTAGCTTTTGGTGATGCCAGAGGTCATCGAATAGATGGTCTTGTGTATCTCACAGATCTCAGAACACAACCAATGAGAAGGTAGGCTAAAGCTTTCAGTTGCATGCTTAAGATTTTCCTGTATGTTTACTGGTATTTTGAAGAATTCACTTACATTCATAAGCCAGAATTAACCCCCTCTTAGACATTTAATATACAACCAGACATATTTTGCAAGACTTCTGATATGAATAACATGAAATACAATGTACTTCCTTTGTTTATCTTTTGAGGTTGTACTATTGAGCATTGTTGTAGTTGTATCGTACTATTCCAGCTATACCGAGTCTGTATTCTATCATTATAAATTGAAAAAGAGCCACTGCATAGATTTCATTACGAGCGCTGGTCTGCCTGCTGTTGTTGGTAGAATCAGGTATTTAAAAAATAATATAACAGTTCTAAGGGGAAAATACAGTATGGGAAAAACTACTCAGAGTAGCAGATTGTTCTCAGCTCTGTTGCTCATAGTAGACTATCCTGATGCATAAGAAATATTTTATTTTTATCATATCCACACCCTACTGTACATAAGAACAGCTAACCTTTACATCTTACTAAGTTACTTTACCAATGATATCTTGTAGCATTAAATTGATTTTAAAATAATATATGAGTGATCTGGGTTGTCCTATTTTGATTTGAATGCCCTTTGTTCTTGTTTTAATGCTATCATTCCTTTATACACTTAAATCATAAAGTTAGTTCCATATCATATTTTTGAGTAAGTATGGTGCTTGTCTCATATTTTGGATGTTGTTCCAAATGTATGAAGTTTAGGTATTCTTTTTGCTTTCTCCGCAGCCCTCCCCCAACTAGTTTTACAAGATTGAAGTTCTGTGAGAAATTCATGGATACATGTAGCTTTAATTTAACCAAAAATTGCTGTAATTCTCAAATGAATAATCTTTGTTGTTTTTTTTATTCTCTCTCAGTAGTATGTTTAAATAAATAAATAATAATAATAATAATAAGCTTATAAGAGCTGTTTTTATTCTTCCTAGTAACCTTGGAATGGATGTATGGGATTCAGATGAGGATATTGTGCCTCCTCCACATGCCATGGAAGGACCTGTGGAACGATTCCCAAATGAAGATTTTCAGGGGTAATAGGCTGAAGTGTGAAATTAAAAGCCAAAACTCCCCAGAGTGGGAAAGATAATTATTTATTACTATGTGTTGTTTTTAGAGTAGCAATGCATTACAATGTTACAAGAAGGTCAGCTGATTTTAACAACTAGGTATGGTGTTTTGAAACATTGGAAGTACTATAAATATTCTAATTTAAAACACATTTTATGAATATAGCCTACTCACGCACATTATATTTACGGAATAAGAAAAAAATTGAAAAGATAAAGGGAAGACAAGTTGCTGAGTAATCAGTTTACTTGGGAAAATTTTAGAGTTCCTTCTTTATTATTCTGCAGTTGTCTGCAATTATTTTTAATTAATTTGGAATCACTGGTTTTGCCTGTTGAACAAGCACTATAGAATTACAATTGAATGCTTGTCACAGCTTCTACTATGACATTGTTTTAAAGTTTTATAATCTTTCTTACTGTTTAGATTCTTAGTAGCTGTGATACATATATATATATATTACTTGCAATGTCTTTCATATCAATTCTTAGTTAAAAAAGCTTACTGTCATTAATAACTTAGGAGTATAGATGTTCTATTTAAGAAAGAAATTCTTTACAGGTCTGGGAAAAGATTAAGAGCTTATGATGAGCACTCTCAGAATGATTTGCAAGGACAGATACAATTGAGAGATTTCGATTTCATTAATAAAGGAGCTGGACAAAGACGAAGATCATTTCATGACCATCAGACTCAAGATGATTTAAGAGCACCAATGCAGATGAGAAACTGGGACTACAATAGGGAACCAGGACAGCGGCGAAGGCCCTTTCCTGATCACCAGTTCTATGACGATTACCAAGAAGATACACAGCTGAAGGACCTAGACTTCAGTAACAAGGGAGCTGGACAACAGCTGAAACCTTTTCATGGACACCAGTTCCATGATGATTTACAGGCAGAGAGACATTCAAGGGACTTCGAATTTAACAGAGGCCGTGGACAAAGGCAGAGATCTTTCCCTGACCATCCATCCCACAACAATTTGCAGGAAGATATGCAGTCAAAGGAGTTTGATTTTGGTAGCAGGGGCCGTGGCCAGAGACGAAGGCAGTTCCATGACCACCATTCTCCTGACGAATTTCAGACTCCAATGCAGTTAAAAGAGTTAGATTGTGTCAACAAAGGTCCTGGCCAAAGACCGAGACCTTTCCGTGACTATCAGTCCCATGATGCCTTACAGCCACAGGTGCAACTGGGAGATTTTGAATTTGTTAATTGTGCTCATGGACAGAGGTTGAGACATTTCCATGATAACCAACCGCACAATGACTTGCAAACAGAGATGCAACTAGAAGATTATGATAATAAAGGTCCTGGACAAAGGCACGGACCTTTTCATGACCATCAGCCTTATGATGACTTACAGGAACAGCCTCAGTTAAAAGATTTTGATTATGTTAATAAAGGGCAAGGACAAAGGCCAAGACCTTTCCATGATCATCCTGGTCACGATGACTTGCCAGGTGGATGGTGTTCAGACAGGTAAATCACACTTTAGTTGTAAGGCCAGGATTAGAGAGAAAAAGTGTAGAGCTCAGCACTTTTAAATTAAATTTCAAATTAGTTCTTCGATATATAAATATTAAGAAAATAATAATTTGAAACAATAATCCTTCTAAAATCATATGTGAATGATCAGTTAATTACCTCTTTACATTTTGATTTATGGAAGGATCTGATTTAAGCTGGAGTGTTGTAATTTCGAAAGCCAATGTTTCCTAAACTAGAAGATTGTATTTCTTTAAATTAAAGCTTATGTTTTACTTTTTTCAGACTTAGCTTGAAACAAAACTTTTTCCCAGTTTGTTTTGTATAGAAACTTAGATTTAAACAGCAATTCTCAAGACAGAAGAGGACACAAAATTTTATTTATGTCCTCAGTCAAACTGAAATAAGCATTAATACTAAAAGGAAATCTAACTTTCACTTATTTCATGAGTTAATAATTTCCTAGAAATCCTTTTGCTTATGAACTTGCATCATATTCTCCCAAATACATATACCACTTACTGCTAAACCTGCTGGATTCGGTAGTTAAGTTTCTGACACAATATTTAAAAATACTTTTTTATCTTTCAGAACATAGTTCAGATATTTGGCAGTAAAGCTTGATTTAATCATTTTCATTGTACTGGTGAAACAGAGGACAGTGTATCATTACCAAGAAATATTTTGACATGGTGAACTAATAAAGTTAAGATACTTCTATTAAAATTTCATTTGAAGTAATTTTAATTAATACTTTTCAAAGGCCTGAAATCATTTGTATTCCTCTTAATGTGCAATTCTTGCAATTATTTTCAGAAGTCAATCTTTTTCCTCCCATGAAAATGTACTGGAACCTCATTTTTCCTCATCTCCTTCACTTCATAGAGATTACGGGTCTGATAATGATGACTTTAACAGAAGCTATAGGTAAATAATGGATTTCATATGTTGTTACCTTTATACTCGAATCCCTTCAGAATTCAACCCCCTAAAAAATAACTGTACAGTGTAAAAATTGGGTTTACTTTTTTTTTTTTTTTTTTTTGCTTAAATGCAATTTAAACTATTGAATCTGAACACTGAGCAAATGGCGTGACTAAATTGTGGTCCATCCATATCATGCTTGAATGTCATTATGAAATGGTTTGAGAATCCCTAATCTGAGTCATTAGCATGAAAAGCACATCTCAAACTGACTTACTATAAAATACAAAAAAACTATTTGCAGTAAGCATGTAAGTTGAAGTACAGATGCTGTATTTAACTCTTAAGTGCTGTCTACCACACAATACTACCACAATATACTCTACCATAATGAGAGTATAAAATGAACTGTTTTATTTGTAAAGACTTAATTGTGCATGTTTGCTCTTCTTACAGTAATCGAACAAATTGTCCAGAAGACAATAGGAGAGTGCATCTTTCGGATGAATTTAACAGAGGAAAAAACAGATTTGCACCATATTCTTCACGTACAATGCATCCATCTTCATCTGTACACCAGGAAGGTAGTTCAATAGACTATGAAAGAAAAACTTTTCAAGGTGAACCTACCAGAGAGATTGAACAAGGCAAAAGATTACCGGTTGTAACAGTTGATTACAATTATGGTCTGCCATTAGATTATGGACCTGAAGAGGAAGAGAGAAATTATGATTTACCTCCAAAAGACTGCTACAACTGGCACTGAATACAAAGGACAATGTTTGCTCAGCTTAGACTTCCGTTTACCTATTTTGCTTTGTATGTGGACTTTTTTTTTTTTTTTTTAAGTTAGGAAAATGCAAATTTCAGTAGTAGAGAACTGGTCTCTGTTGTAAGATCAATTTCTACTGATGTTTGGTTCTTTATATTTATTAGAGTGTATTTGTTCACTGTGTTTGTAGACAAGGTCTCAGTACACATGGAATGAAAGTAGTCATTCCTTTAAGCAAAGTTGGAGCCTTGTACCTTAAACCATACAACTTTGAGTGATTGTAATTGTCTTTTGTGTTTTTTTTTCTTTAAAATGTATGTAATTTCAGGATGCAAGAGGCATAATAAAATACTGCACCATCAGGTAGACTAGCACTGAGATTATAAAAAAAAAATTGCTATGAAATGAATGAAACAAATGTATGTCAACTTCATCCTTTAATAATAGCAGTTTGTTGTTGCTAACGATTACTGCTAACCTCTGTGACATTGCAGTTTAATTCCATTTTTTTGTACCATTAACTGATGTAGGTGTGCTCTTTTCCATAGCAGATTTTTCCCAGATTGCTAATAACTTGGAAGTAACTGGAGTTTGAATAGTCTAAATGTAAAACTTGCTTTTCATCGTTCTGAATATCTCATCCTAATTGTGTATTTTTTCCTGATCCCACAGATTATAAATGCTTCAGAATAGCCCAGTACAGGTGAATTTCACAATTTTCTCAGCAACACATCCAAATGAGGCAGGTCATGTATCAACAGGTTGCCTGTCTCAGCTGGCCAAGATTGCCTGTGCCTTTGTGTTTACACCTTCCTGTTTGTCAGTCAAATGTTTCACTTCACTCTCCACTTCTGTTTTCTACTGGCTTCTTTTTTACAGCACAGCAGAGTAATCAGAATGGAAGAATAACCTCTTTAGGTAAGTTACTTTTAGAGTCGTGCATTGGAACAGTCTCCTCTGAATTGCCATTTCTTTGGGTCTCAGGAAGGTAGCGCAACAAACAGTAACTGAATTCATGCCAGCTGCTGCACAGTAGCAGCAACAGCTTCTACTTTTGTTAAGCACATCTTAGTTCATAGGACAGAAAACACTATCAATGTAATGCTTAAGTGAACCAAAATTTTTACATTTTTCAATATTACTCCATTTTAATAACTTAGATGTTTTTAAAATGCTACAGGGAAAGCAGTCTAGGTTCATCCTATGACATTAAGATAACTGAAACGAATGCTAAATCCTCAAATTACACAGTAAGAAACTGCCTCAAAAGCTATATAGCTGTGAAATGTAAAGCTGGAGAGTGGAAGTATACACTAGAAAATTCAAAAAGAACAGTGTTCAGAGCAAGAGCTCCACAGACCTTTTTTTCTTTTTAACTAGCATCATGAAACTCAGATTTCTGAATTCATGCGTCTATGGCTACTAAGTAAGGGCTAGACTTGAGAAGTGTGGAACATCTGGCAATTCCCACTGATTTGTAACACATGCAGAAAGTTCCAAAAATCAAAGGATTCTGTGGATATAAATTCAAAGTGCAGATACTTCATTGCCTTTGCAACCGGTACAGCAACTTTACTTTGTATAATGAACAAAGCCAAATTGTTCCCTCATTTTCACAGCAGCTAGTCAATAGTATTTCCCATTAAATCTAGGATTGTGAACCTTATTAATAAGCTCTCAGGAATTAAGTTCTCTATATGTAACCCAGTTTTGGAACTAAGCACTAAATGTTAAGAAAAAGGAACTTTTTTCCTTCATTTACTCTTTTTTAAAACGAGGGGTAAATAAAGTCTATGCTTCCTTATTTTGGGGCAAGGAAGATCTGCAACATGGGTTACTATATTGCTAGATTGAAAATAAACTAAAATCAACCAAAAACCTTCCTGTTTTTTTTTTTTTTTTTTTTCTCCTGTGAGAGAACTGAGAATTAGGGACTGGTGTTACAAGCATTTGTTCTCTTTTTACACTATGTATATTCATAATGTGAATAAAGAAGAGATACTTGCTCCTTATATTTTTGGTTTCGGATTTGAATTAAGTTTTTAGGATTGAAGTAACCCTACAGTCAATCTACACTTAATTCAGGCTGGGGCTGCTGGGACTCCCTGGATACCTGAAAAGCTGATGGACGCACTGGAAAGAAAGTTCATTGCAAAGAGAAATGTGGCAGGTCTACAAGGAATTAGGAGGGGTGTTAGCTATTACCAGTCCTTGGTCAGTTCCTGCAGGACTGAGAGTTTGCGTGCTGCTCCAGCGTTTGGGAGTCTTTTAGCTATGTTCATCTAAAAGTTGAAGCTGCCTTCAGCTGTCCATCTGAAGAATATCTGCAAAGGGCTGTTTCAAGCCCAAAGCCAAATAAGCTTTCTCAATCTCTGCTTATGTTACTACATCAAATATATCTGGAAATGCTCCCAGGCACTGAGACCAATTGATGTGAGATGAGTAGCACCTCTGTGCTAGTCAGTTCTAAACCACAGTAAGATACTTGCAATTCAGGGATGGTCCCTGAAATGTGTCTTATCTCCTGAAATATCCCAGGAGTTGTTGGGGAGAGTGTTAGCGGCACAGACCAAAACCTTCCACCAGTTTGCTAGTACTGAGTGTTGTATTCCATTGTGAGGAAACATGCTGTGATTACTAATACAGCCAAGACATCTTCACCAATGGAGTCTCTAGATGGTTCTTAATGTAACCAGTGCACATGTAGCTGCTTACTAGTGCTCTGGACACAGCACCTACAGCAAGTTACACCAGAACTACATGTTCTATGTGCACAGTGCTGTAATTCAGAAAGCCTCCCAGAGCACAGAGAAGTGATCTACCACAGACTACCTTCAGTTGAAGCTTATGAGCTTGGCTGGAGTACAACTGATTATGTTATAGGAAAAGAAGGTGCTAGGTGCTCCTAATGTTGGAAATTTATGTGTAGATGTACCTGAAGTGGCTCCCCTTGACAGGGCTCCATGCGACACGTGCTGCTTCCATTGCAGTATAACAGCTGGGTCCATGCTGCCCCAGGTAGCTGGATCTGCAACCAGATGTTGACAATAAAGATCATCTGTAAAAATCACATGATAGTGCATAATTAATAGTTTGGTGGCATGGTCTTCTTCAAACTAGGAGCCATTGGTACAGAAAGCATAGAAAGTTAACTAGGAAGGATATTCTAAAGTACAATGATGCATGTTCTCTTTTAGGATTTACAAAAACTTTTAGACTGTTATGTAGTAAGTAAAAGATGCTTGTTTAGCAGCCCATGTTTTTTCTCTAGACTATACTTGCTAGTAGTAGTTCATTTAGTGTTTTTTGTGTCTAAAATTATTTCACCATAATTATTACAAAAATCTGTGGTTCTGTATTTCTGCAACTATACTTGATATTTCTCATTCCAGTTATTTTCCCTAAAGGGAAATAATGAAGACTTAGATACCCCTGCCAGCCCCAATAGTACAGGATGTTTTATAGAAGACAGTACACGGGATCCTGAGCGGCTTCTCTCTGAACTAAGAGAGCATCTAGCAAGTAGGTATAATTTCAGTATCCCTGTGGAGACATAACAGGCATTTCTGCATCCCTGGTGTACTTTCTCAGAAATTCTGCCCAACACCCACGGCACAAATTGAGTTTACTGTAGCTTGAGCAGGACTCTGAAAAGCCAGGCTAATAATAACAAACAGATGATGTTTATACCACATGAATTTACAAGTGATTGCCCTAGTAGTTACCCAGCCATGAATGAATTATAAGCCTGGTGGTTTCCCCAAATAGGTAGAAATGGAAATTTATACTTGAATAATTGTGCTTACTTTGACAAATATGGAATCAATACTGGCTAAAATGCCCTTTCAAGACCAGCCATAAAGAGGGCAATGGATTTAAGACATCTCCCCTAAGACAATCTTTGAAAGTTAGCATGGTATGATAACAGAGCACTTGAGACCAACCCTATAGGTCCAAGCAGTCAGATGGTGTACCTCCTGCTATTTGACAAAATAAACATCACTTTAATAACTACGTTGGATTCCTCTTTTCAAGCAAAAATAATAGATAAGATGTTTTCACAAATGGCTTTGAGATGACTACATGGAAATAACCAAAGGTGGTTTTATTTTATTTTATTTTATATAATTTAGGATAAGTCTTTTCTCCCTTATTGTTCCTAACAGAATGAGGCAGAGCTAAACCCGCATACATTGCAAACTGTTACTGACATTTATCTCAAATTCCAGTTAAGTCATCCCTGCATATTAGCATCTGTAGTATTCAATTACTAATTGATCTACATGGTAGAAAATTAAATTAAATGAAATATTTTTTTAACTGAATATTGTTTTACATTGGCAGTCATTAAAAAAAAAAAAAAAAAAAAACTTTTTCTCCTCTATCTTACGTAGTCCTGTAGTAACATTATAAAATCTTGTCGGACTCTTTTATGTATGTTCTCAATGAACCTAGACATACCTGTTGTACTATGATGTAGCAATAAAAAGCGGGACTTTGATGGACAGGGTTGGTTTCCCACAGCATCAAGTGTGAGATCTTGATGAACACAACTACTCAGAAAATCCAGAGGTAGCATACAATAATATGAAGGCTTTGTAAGGGTTTTAGTATCTATAACTATTAAACTCTGACGTCACATAAAAACTCCTTTACTGTTACTGTCCTGAAATGAAGATTTAATTGACAGTCTGATTTGCATCAGGCAATGAAGCTAAGTAGAGTAGAGCTAGAAAGGCTTGCATGTGACTTTTTCTCTCAGCTAGAGCAAAAGGTAAACAACCTGCAAGTAACAAGAAGCCCCAAACGCAATTAGCATCCTTTCCTGTTTGTAAAGTAGCTGCTAGCAAGCTGCAGACTTTTTTTTTAATGTGTGAAAGTGATCAGTGATGTGATAAGATTCAAATTTCGGGTGCACAGCTACAACCACTGTGCCAATACTAGCTGTTCAATGACCTGGGCACTCACTTCTGAAAATCAGGTCCTTCTGTTGAGGTGTGTCACATGAGGCATGCAGAAATGCAAACACTCAAAGAACGTTAGTGAGGAAAGAAGGAATGAATCCTCTCAAAGGGGCTCAGCAAGGGGACATGAAAACCTGGCTGTTGAATAGCAGCTTACTTAAAACATTTGTGCTTACTAAAAGAAATTGCTTTCATGCTGTTACCAACCAGAGGTGTGTGTTTCCCCTCCAGGCCAACTTGTGTTTGATCCAGTTGTCAATGGACCACTCTTTACTGGTTCCAGTTGCTAGCAAGTACCAAACCTGCAGATCTCTTTCTTCTGCTCATGGGACCAGTCACCAGGAAGCAGGTGGGGAAGCAACCTGGTTGCAGGTCACAACATTTCCCTTTCTCCTGAGGTGAGAAGGCAATAGGGGTGGGGCGTGAGGACAGGAAAAAAAAATGCAGAGGGAAAATGAAAATGTCAGGGAGTAGAGAGTTACTAGTGTGAGGGAAGAAATGTACAAAAGGTGTAAAAAGCTCATTAAAGGTTACTGAGTATAGAAAGAGGGTATGCACTAGAGAAGGAGTTCCTAGTAACTTCTTATCTGGGTCTTCTAGCCTGTGCCTTTCTATAAGTTCTGTGCTGATGCAAGTAACAGCTATCAGAAACACACTGCAGCATTCAGACCTCTAATCCTGCAATAGAGTCATGTGGGAGATTAAAACTAATGAAGGCTTTCCTTTAAGCTTTAAATATAATCTAGGTGTAGTGTAATGTCCTGAAGATACACCCTGCAGAATCCAATGAGAATTTCAGACAATCAAATATGAAAGCGTGCCACAGATCTGTTTCACCCATTGAAAACAGTCAAAACCAGACTGTTTTCTGGATATCAAGAATCCGATCTGTTGAGAAATTTGAGACTCCTATCCAACTTGTTTATTACAAATGCATACCTGACATTTTGCACACTTCCAGGGTAGTATCGAAACACTATAAAGTTGCTATCATTGTACCCATCACATAAATCTTACACTTATGAATTAGTTAAAACGTAACATACAAATTTGAAGTAACTGCTTGTACAAAAAGGCCAAGAAGGAAGCCAGTGCAGACTCATACCGGAAGCAGGAGTCATTTTCTTCCTTTATGAGCAATGTTGAAGCCTGAATGTTCCACAAAGGAAGATGAAAGAGCCCCCAAGATAAATATACTTAAAAGCTGACACAGACAATGATGATTTTCATGCAGTTCTTCAAACAAGCTCTTTTAACATAAACACGGAAGTTTTCACTTTGAAAGTTACACTGCCAAACAAAAGTCTATAAAGGAAAATTAACTCCTTAAGGAGAAGATGAGAGAGTACAAGCTAATGCTGATATCTGTTAATTCTATCTCAGCTGGAGTGTTTTCTGCTTTATGTTGAAGTTACTTAATAGCAATGGTAAATTCTGATTTTCAATAGTTAAACACCAGAAATCTTTAATAGGCCTAAAATATATTCTGAGAAGTTGTTTTTATGAATTAAAAGAAAAACTTGAATTGATTCATATCATTTAATATACTAGCTAGAATAAAATAGAGAGCAAAGAATATGTTCACATGTTCACCCAACTTGTTTTTAAATCTAATTTAAGCTCAGTAATTGTACAGAACTTGTGACAGTAGTCACAGATTAGCCTTCTTTTCTGTCTTTATAAAGCAACAGCTTTTGGAAAGAGCTGGACTAGATGTGAAACCTCTGTCCCTGTTTATTCAGCATTATAGTGTGGTTCTGCATCCTTATGTCCCTGATGACAGACGTGCTTTCCTATTTATGTTGTTTGTATTCAGTTTGTGCATGCTGGAATTATGTGCACTCTTTTTTAAACTGCACAGGCTAGTGTCCCTCTTGCCTTAGCTCATGAAAAAAGAACAATTTGACTTCTGGG